TATTAAAAAATAGGTTTTTTAAATGTCTACAGATAAATTTTACAATTTTACAAAAATTGACTAAATATTTTTATTCTGTTGCATGTACGATACATTCGTCATTTTTGTTGTCTGAGGGGAAGAAAATGGGGTCATTCTTCCCTCGCTTGAGCGTTAGTCATACAACCGCAGATCTGTTTTAAATATGTAATGATTCGTGCATACGTATCGTCATATGACGATGTGCTGATTCATTATGCCTACGACCTCTTAAAAAATCTTAAAATCTAAAGGGGAAGAATGAGTTTAACGCGACAAAAATTTATATTATTTTATTTCTAATAATTAGAATTGAAACAAATTTGTTGCATATAGCGAAAAGTGTTTACGATATTCCTTAACTGTAAATATTATCGATGATTTAAACAGAAAAATAAGAAATTTTATAATTATCTTGTATTATATTTAGAAAAATATGTTATATTACAATGTGTATTTTTGTAACTAGTGATTTACGAATAACTTCAAGTTTTCTGGGATTATTTAAAAATTATGGAACTGCTTATTGCATCGCCAACAGCATTGACAAATATGATCCCGAAGCATTCATGATCTAAAACAATATTGCCTCTTATTTTAAAAATCAATATTTTTAATTTTAATAAGTAAATATATGTGCTTTTTTTGTCCTTCATTTTTCTCTTCATCTTTAAAGGCGAGAAGTTTATGTATATAAATACTATAAATCTTACGCTTGTAAATGATGCTAAGGAGAGATCCATCATCTTTCCTACTGTGAGTGTCAGCTGTTTCTGCGATCTTAATATGACAAATAACAGAAGACGACTTTCTGTACATTTTAAATCGTACCATTCACAGTTATATGCCGCGACACCAATTTCTTTGCTCTATGAAAATGGAAATAAAACAATTTATAGTATTCTTTTTTATTTTATGCGAGATGAAAGAAACAATTATATACTCGCAATGTTTTATTATTGTGATAAATATTGTCTTGTCACTAACCTTATTATTCAAATATTCTCCAGCGTAGCAAAATATAAATGCTTCAAGATTTGTTATAGTGAAAAATAAAAATGATTTCATTATTTGTTCTACCGCATTGGGGCTACCGATTGCCTGCAATATTGTGCAAAAATAATGTGCGAGTTATATTAAATATAAATAACTACATATTTATAACTTTTTACTATGATATGTATAATAAAAGTGAGCGAATTTATAAACGAGAAAAACTTGAACAGATGTAACATGTAATAGAATATTTAAAAATAAATAAATTTATATCTAATAATATTATATTATTAGCAACTACTTGAAGAATTACAATAATTTTGTATTCAATGCTATTACTCACTGTTACTATAACGAAACCTAGCGAGCATATCATTATCGTGTTTGACACAAACTGAAGCAATGCGATATATGAATAAAGACTTTCAATGTTTTTTGAAAAACTGATAATTTTTTGGTGTTTTTGAATAATTTTACTCGTAGTCATAGCAATTGATTCGCCCTCGTTCTTACGAGACACAAGTTGCGTCAGCCGGTGACGCATAATTTCGATTTGGCCAGCCGTATGTAAAGTCTGAAAATAAAAATACAATTACATGTGAAATTAATTATAATTCACGAATGAGATTAATATTTAAGCAGTGCATCAGATAAACTTACAACGTGCCAAATAATATAATTAAAATCAATATAAATAAAAAATTTTGTGAACCATATATTTAATTTTTAAATGCATACTATTATTTTTAATTAGATACAGCCTCATGAGGCTGTATGAAGTGGAGAATGGAATCTCAACTTACCAATGTTAATAATAAAGAGTTTGTTATACCAGCCGCCCATCCACAAAGAATCATAAGCAAAAATTCTGCGATTAAAATGATTCTGTATGTGGACTGCGTGTTTATGTCGAAAGGAATTTCTAGCTTATTGATTAAAGGTAATTCTTTCGTAGTGTCAGTGACATCGGCATCGGCCAGGATGATACCGATGCAATATGCAACAATTGTCACCGTGTGAAGGGTGACGACCGCATTTGCAATACGATCCGATATTTTCGCTTTGCGTGCTATCTCGCGCATACTAATGTCATTATTAGTGCAATCGCTCCAGTCTTCCGTCATCACTGCCAAGATTTCGATGAGTTTTCTGTGGATGATTATTTTCATTAATCGTAAGATAATCTTAAAGATAATTTTAATTACCGTCACGTAAATTGGTCTCTTTAAAGATTTGTTATCTTTGGATATTACAAACTAATTGTCCATGCTTTTTATTCACCAACAATCTTTGCTCATAAATTTATTAATATGATAAAATATATATTGACGGTAAAAATGAAAAGTACGATGCAATTGTATTTTTAAGTGAGAGAGCGCTTTACAATATTTTCTCACCTGAAATCGGTCGAATCGCTATGTGATGTACATTGTATTAAAAAAGAAAGTTTTGTGGCTAATATAATATATTACTCACAATTCTACTTTTGAGAAGAAAGCTATTGTATAAATAAATCTTCTGAAAAATTATGGTTCTGGAGTTACAGCATCTTTCGTTGGAGCTTTGATATGAGTGCATATTAATCGTAACATTTTTTTCCGAATGTTTCTAAACGTTATAATAAATTATATTATATTACTTACCGCTGATTTAACCAAAACACAATAAATTTGATAATTATTTTGGAATATGCAAGGAAGCTGGACAGACAGTCCATCAAATCCAAGATTTCGGCAGAATATACGTGTGTCAGAAAATAACGATAGTGGCAGAATAAAGTAACTGTCAAAGAAACGACCCAAAATATTCTGCAGAGCAGAACGTACGGTGTACCCGGCCAAATACCACACATAGTGAGCATAAACCTCAACGTGCGGTTAAGCGTACTTTTACGAGCCATAATTTCTTATTTCTTTTTGTCCACCGTTGTTTACAGCAAATCCATCAAGATGTGTATAACAGAATAAAAATCCTCCGGGGTAAAAGAAAGATAGAAGAAATATATTCTGATCAAAGCGCGCGTTTCGATGACAGTTCTACGTGTATTATAGAATATCTGCGTGAAGAAAACTGGATATTCTAAGAAATCAGCAAGTTCAACCTTCGGCAATTGATCGCAATTGGAAGTTGCTCATTAAATATTTTTATCCCGCCGAGCGTATAGATCGCGAATACATTTTGTCGTAGTTTTTCATGAATGTAATGTAAGAAACGGAAAGATAGATGAGGTTTTTTTCCCCTCTCTTTTGTGCGCCGGTACAAGCTACAATCGCGAATTGTCCCCTTTAAATATGCAACGATACATGCGGACGTAGGTACGGCGATGTATATCCGACGGTCAGTCGTAACCACGGTGCTTCAGGAAAGTTTTAATCTCTAGAGGATGAAGAGCCGGGTATAACTATGTGCAACACTACAAACTTTACATTGCTTCATTTGTAATAGCTGAAAGTGGGTTTGTGTTGTAGAAATATTGGTACTGATGAAACACATAATTAGGATTAACAAATGCACGGATTTGTACCCGAAAATGTACGTGAAATGATGGATTACATGTAAATCATCAAAATTTACGTAGATGAATATTTAAACAGATTAAATATTATATTGCTGTTAAATTGTATTAAGACTTTCTATATTGTATTTTCTATATGTATGTGCAAATTAATTTTTAGCGTTACATTTTTGTAACGAGTGTTGTATATATTTAGTTATTTTATAATTGTTTTATTCAATATTCTTAGTCAATTTACTAAAAAAGTACGCAAATGTGTATAAAGCTGACATGGAAAATATAAAAGTTACATCAGGCTGCTATACTTTTTGTTAATTTAATTTTAATTATTGACGTTATGGATATGTAGTATTATAAAATTTTATGATTTCTGGGAAATGAGGATTTATTAAGGTGTTGTGACAACATAAAGAATGACATATCTTTTCATATTATCTGTAAATGATTATTATTTTAAGGTATCTAAATCATTACTATTTTAGACTATATTTTACTAGGCCATTTTTATATTATGAAAATATATATTGTACTATATTTTCTATCATGTTTCTATCACTGAAGATATATTTACATGATATACGCTTCAGGACTATTGTATAAAAATCTTCAAATATATGATGTGTTTATTGCATAGCCAGCAATACTGACAAATATGATCCCGAAGCTTTCATTATCTATAATAAAGTATGAATTTTTTGTATTATATATAAAAATTAATATTTTAAAGGATTATAATTTTGTTATCAGGAAAAATTCATTTTGAACATTGCTATAAGAAATTTACAAACTTAACGGATTGGTATAGAAGAATTGTAATATATATAGACAAAAGGTAAATTTTATGTAGAAAATATCTTGATACATATATTACGTATACAATTATTGTCCAAAATTATTTTGTGTGTTGCGTATGAATCTTACACTTGTAAAAGATTCTAAGGAGAGATCCATTACTTTTCCGACTGTAAGTGTCAATTGCTTCTGCGCTCTTAATATCACGAATATCAAATTACGACTGTTTTTAGGTTTCATTTCGTACCAAGTGGAATTGTACGCCGCATTTCCGATGGCTTTGCTCTAGAAAGGTAGAAATAGTTAAGGAATCGTCATGACGCGCGATGTCCTCTAACTCGACAAATTCAAATAACCGCGTTATTGACCATCATATAATTATTGTCCCGTGTCTAACCTTGTTTTTTAAATATTCTCCTGCGTAACAAAATATGAACGCTTCGAGATTCGTTACGGTGTAAAATAAAAGAGACCGCACTATGTGCTCCGTTGCGTCGGGACTACCAATTGCCTACAATATCGAAACAGCAATAATTATATCTTTAAAATTAAACATAAACGTCTACGTTAGTCTGATGCATGTAACAAGATGCAAAGAATTTATTTTTAACAAAAAAGCACGGCGAAGTTTATGGAATGTAATGTTCACTATGCGTAATACTTAATGTCTTCACTCGCCGTTACAATAAGAAATCCCAAGGAGCAAATCAGCACGGTGTTCAATGTGAATTGCACTAACGCGATGTATGTATATAGATCCTCAATGTATTCCGAAAAGTTAATGATTCGTTGATGCTTGCGAATGATTTTAGTCGTCGCAACGGCGACAGATTCAGATCTTTCTTCATTTCCCCTCGGTACGAGCTCGGTTAACCAACAGCGCAGAATATCCATCTGACCACCTACGTGTAAAGTCTGAAATATAAGAATTGCACGTTGTGTTTATTCAAATTGATATCGAAATTCGAAATGATATACGTTTAAACAGCAAGAAAAAAAAATTGTTTTAAAATAATTAATTGGTTGAGATATTAATTGACAGTTATTTTTATAATTACCAACTTGTATCATTTATGGCAAGTGCATTTCGCACGCATTGCAACTTACCAAAGTTAAGAGCAAGGCGTTCAGTAGACCCGTACCACAGCCGGACATAATGAGATGCACGAATTGCATGCCCAATAGCGTTTTATACATGCGTTTTGTATTTATGTCGACAGGAAGCTCCACCTTTAAGAGAAGAGGTAATTCGGACTGACTGGTGACGTCGACGTCGGCCAAGAAAATGCCGATACTGTATGCAACGATGGTCAACGTGTGAAGAGTGAACATCGCGTTAGTAATACGGTTTGCTAATTTAGCTTTGTATACCGTTTCGCGCATGTTAATGTCGCTGCCAGCGCAATCATTCCAATCTTCTGCCATCATCGTCAAGATCTCGATGAATTTTCTAGGAATTATTTGGTATCGTGAATTATTCCATTATTCCACCGCGGCTGTGGAAGAAACTATAATACATAGGAGCTTATATATTTAGAGAAGTATATTACAAAACACTCATATAGTTATATTAATATATCTATATATTTTTGTCTTAATTTTTTTAAACGATATTTTATTTTTTTTATTTTCTTACATTCGGGAGAAGAAAAATAGATGAACACACTTATCGACAAACTTAAGACAGAAAGTAAATATTTGTGAATGGTTAAATATTGTATTTATCTATACGTATATATTGATTATAAATATAGACCATATTGACAGAAAATGATGGAATAATTTTTGAGTAATGCACATACAAATCATTTATATATTATGTAGCACATATTACTTACCGCTCATTAAGCCAAAATATAATCAACTTAATCGAAAATTTTACTTGCGTTAAAAAACTACTGAAACAGTCCATCAAGTCAAAAAGATCGTTAGAATGCAAATGCATTAAAAGGTAACGGTAGTGGCAAATTTCATCTGTTGCTAACGCGATAATCCAATATGTCCTGCAAATCATAATACACGATGTGCCTGGCCATATACCGCATAAAGTGAGCATTAATTTTAACGTGCGATTAATTGTGCTTTTACGCGTCATAATCCCTTATTTCTTTTTCGTTCTCGCGCTTCTTGCGCGAAGGAAAGTATTGATTTAAACGCAACAGGACAAACGCTCTTTCAGGAAGGTAAAATAATTCTGTTTTCTCTTTCTATTTTTCTCTCTTTGTCACTCAATGCATTTGCCAATGAAGACTCGATGTGTATTGTAGAATATCTGCATAAAGACTGGGAAGTCCTACAATGTAATCAAATGGGCGCTCTCTACCATGATCGGCCAATGAGAGTATCTCATTAAATATTTTTATCGTGCCGCATGCAGCCCTCGCTCGCGCACGCTTACCGTAGCTTCTCGCAACATTGATACAAGAAGAGGGAGAACACGTAGGGTCATCTCTCCTTCCCTTGGACGTCGATGATGTAATTGTGTATTTAAATATGCAATGATTCGTGCGAACGCGAACGTGGCGACGTACACGTCCGACGGTCAGTCATATTTCAGCGCACTCCGGAAAAGTTTTCAAGTTCATACGCTGGAGTAGCGGAAAAGCAACGAAGAAACCCCTCCAAGTGTTACGAAAATCTCGCGTGGCAGTTTGCAGCGCATTAGTGCAGGATAATATTTATATTTATAGTGGTAATATTTATAAAAAATCAACAAGTGCATAGATGCATAAGCAAAAATGCATAGTGTGTAGAATGTGTTTACATGCGCAGAAATATATTTGAAGAGTTCAGAAATTGTGTCCTACAGAAGCTATAGAAGTACATATAATTTTTCTCACACTAGCAAGAAGAATATCATGACTTCAATGTTAAAATTTTCTGTTTATAGTTAGTAACTACGTATATTATGTTGATGTCTAGAAGTATAAATTTAAAAAATATTTATGTGTGTGTACTGTGTATGTGTATATAAACGTACATCCTACATACATACATATACATATATATACGATAATAAATGTATACGTATGTATATACTGTCCCAATATGTTTTCTAAATTAGAGAAATCAACAGATATGATCTTGGTTCGTTACTTGACGACTATTATTTAGGAAAGATATACATTACGGCGCGCTTATTTCATTGCCAGCAGTACCGATAAATACGATCCCGAAGCCTTCATGATCTACAAAAATGTTGCCCTTATTAGCGATAAAGAACAAAACATATGTGAAAAAATTTATATGCTAGAAAGATTTACTTTAAACGATAATAATCATTCGCTATGTACAAATGTATGTTAAATACCAGAAATATTATTGTAGGTAACAGAAACATAGGTAACTGTGTCATTACATTTAAAAGTTTTAATTAAGATGTTTTTTTTTATAATTATTATGTACGTATCTTACAGTTGTGAAGTATTCTAAGGAGAGGACAGCCATCTTGCCCGCTGTAAACTGCAATTGTCTTTGCGATCTTAAAATTATAAACAATAGAACCCGCCTATCTTTAGCTTTCATATCGTACCAAGCGGAATTGTACGCTGCGTTTCCGATCGCTTTGCTCTATGAAAATAAAATTAATAACAGAAAGAATTTTATAGTATTGCTCTTTATAATATTAGTTTCAATAACAAACACACACGGAAAGAACGGTTTTGCTGAAGTATCTAAAAATTTACCTTGATACAAAACTGAAAATAATTTTGTTGCACCATCAAAATAATTATAGTAGGTCGTTGATCAGTATGATGATAATAGTGTAAAAAATTTTGGCATTTTGGCAATCAGTTGAGTGCTCTACATAATTATTTTGATGGTGCAACAAAATTATTTTCAGTTCTGTATCAAGATAAATTTTTAGATACTTCAGTAAAACCGTTCTTTTCGTGCAAGGAATATCTACATGTCTCTTTTATTATTATCATGGTAATCTTCCGTTGCTAACCTTATTACTCAGATATTCTCCAGCGAAGCAAAATACAAATGCTTCAAGGCTTGTTACAACGTAAAATAAAAGAGACCTCGTTATTTGTTCACTGGCGTCGGGGCTTCCGATTGCCTACAATGTTGGAACATAATTGAAAACGAACACATTTATGCATGAATAAAGTTGTAAATAAAAATAATAAATTAATTAAAATGATACAGGTATGTATACATAATAGAGATTAATGCATAAAAAGTTAACTCATGTAATTTACTCTAAAATGGAATATATATTTTTACATTTAAAATTATAACAAGTTTACTCACGGTTACAACGAGAAATCCTAATGAGCAAATCATCACCGTATTTGATACGAATTGCACCAAAGCGATATATGAATAGAGATTTTCAATGTTCTCTGAGAGGTAAATAATTTTTTGATGCTTCCGAACAATCTTCGTAATGACAGTAACGAATGAGTCATGCCGGTCATGCGTTTTCTCGATATCTTTAGATCCAACTTCTCCCAGCCAGCAAATTAGGATGTTTATTTGACTGCCCACGTGTAGAGTCTATAAATCAAACGTGATTACAATTGCTTACTTTACATATAAAGACTAGGAGTGTTATAAGAAATAATTTTTACAAAATGCACATTGGCGAATTAGAATCTGTGATATACGTATTTAATTTTTCTCGAATTTACAGTCTGAAATTTTCTTGTGTCACCAAGATTTGATTATTATTTCAATGTATAAAAGTAACATACAACAGTTATGTTATTTTTTTTTTTTTAATTTTTATGTGTTACATTTATGTCAACGTGATAACATAACACTTTATATATATCATTTAGAAATTAAATGTTATTTTGTGTTCTTTTCACACAATTATTTAAAAAAATTAACACGTCTTAAAGTTATTTTAACACATAAACAAAAGTTAAACGTAAATTTTCAAATAATCGTAAACTTTGATGTACAAAACAATTAAATTTCCTAAAATTAAATGTTTCTATTACACATAATTAAACAAAAAATAATTAATATTATGTGTTAATATAACTTGAAAAATAAAGTCAAAAGAACAAATATAAATGTAAAGTATAGTGTCAATTAATTAACATTTCTAATTTGTCAACAAGTAACACATGATGAACGAGTCATTTTAATTTAAAAATTAGAGTGAACTTTCAGGGACATGTAAAAAATATTAAAATTACGTTTTACTTTTTACTGTGTATATATTGCATATAATACTTGTTTATGCAGGTTACCAGAGTTAGAAACAACGCGTTGAATAAACCAGCGCTCCAACTGCACACTACTACGGAAAAGAATTGCGTAGCTAATACCAGTCTGTACTTGCGTTGCGTGTCTATAACGAAGGGGTATTCCATTTTAAAAATGAGAGGCAGTTCAACCGTTTGATCGGTGACGTCGACATCGATCGACGCCTGGAAAATGCCAATGACGTATGCAAGCGTGGCCATTGTCTGAAGAATAATTATTCCATTGCCAATACGACTCGATAGTTTCGCTTTTTTTGCCGTTTCGCGCAACTCGACGCCAGTATTATCGCAATCATTCCAGTCTTCTGCCGTCATCGTCAAGATTTCGAAAAATTTTCTACAAACGATCAAGTATTTCGAGATAGCTAATGCATATTTTCAGAATGATATTATCCTTTTCTTTACAAAGTTCTAATGGTTAAATTTATTAAGTGTCTCTTACCGCTGCTTCAACCAGAAAATGAAGAGCTTAGAGAACAGTTTTATAAACGCCAAGGAGCTAGTCAAACAATCCATCAAGTCGAAAAGGTTATGGAAACGAAAATGCACTACGAGGTAGTGGCAATGACAGAATTCAGTAATTCCTACCATTATCATCCAAAACACTCTGTAAAGTACTACGCATGATATACCTGGCCAGTAACCGAACATGATCAGCATGAGTTGTACTGTGCGATTGATCGTACGTCTACTCGTCATAATGTTTTTCTCTAATATTGTTTATGTACAAGCCGGGGCATCAAATTCTACTATTATAGAAACACTCTCGTCGAAGTATAAGAAACATATGCTCTCGCTCAAATGATATTCTCCAACCACAGTTTGATGTGCGTTGTGGAAAATTTGCGTAAGAACTGAAAAATTCTAGGGGCATTGTGAAGTAAATACCTCCGTTAAGCAATTGATCAATAGCAGTTGCTCATTAAATATTTTTATTCTGCTGTGTGCACCCTAAGAAGAAATAACCTTTTGCAATTTAAAAAAAAAGAGAGCGAACAGAGTGGTCTTGCGTTTCCTCCGCTGACAATGCACTCGTGAATAATTTGCTTAAATAAGTAATGATCTATACGCGGCGATGTGCGTACATCCAGTGCGTATATCAAGTCACATACAGCGATATTTGAAAAAGTTTTAAGATCTAAAGAACAGAAAAGAGATTCTCCAGGAGAAAAGCTAAAGGAAATGACAAGGTAATTGCGCAACAAACAGTGCACGAAATGTTATTAAACTGTTATAATGTCTTAACTTCTTAGAATTTCTTTCATGTGAGTCGCTCACTGCGCATTTGCGCGACTTATTTGCTTTAATAATTTAGAGTACCATATGAAACATTGTGGACCGTACGCGATTGCGTACTAAAATTATATTTGCCCTTAGGTCTCGGTAAAATGTATGAGATGTAAGGCATAGAGCAAATGAAAAAATAAAATTATTAAAAATGACGTATAATATTCTTTTCTGTGAAGTACTTTTAATACCTTTGTATCAAATTATAACTGTTATTACATCTCATCACTGATAAAGCCGGAAAATAATAAATTTAAAAAAATTGGTTAAATGTTGCACTTAATTGTCATACATTAGAAAAATCGATCGCGTGTATGAGTGCATAATAAGATATCGATAATGAAAAAAGTGGCCAACATAGTAATCTAAATCAGTCTACAGAATGAAGTGTACAGTGAGTCCGGCAATATTGCAAAAATAAGAAACGGAAATTCTATAGATCGATCGATGGTGTTCTATACTTTTTTTGTTTTTACCTTCTTATATCCGTTCACTGACCTTTTCTTTAAAAAATGTATTATATATATTATTCGTGTTACTAAAGTGTCAAATGTTATTAAATTGCGGAAAGCTGATCGATAATTGTGTCTATCAAATTGATTAAAATTTGATTATTTTATAATTACCAATTAATATCGTCTGAAAACAATAATCGTTTTCTCGCTGTTTATAAGTGTATCATTTATGACGAGTGCATTTCGCATGCATTGCAACTTACCAAAGTTAAGAGCAAGACGTTCAGTAGACCCGTTCCACAATCAGACATAATCAGATGCACGAATTGCATTGTCAATAGCGTTTTATACATGCGTTTTGTGTTTATGTGTCGACAGGAAGCTCCAAATTTAAGAGAAGAGGTAATTCGGATTGACTGGCAACGTCGACGTCAGGCAAAAGGATGCCAATACTATACGCAAAGATCGTCAACGTGTATAAAGTGAACATCTCATTAGTGATACGGTCTGCTAATTTGGCTAGTATGCGCAATTGTTCCAATCTTCTGCCATCATCGTCAAGATCTTGATGAATTTTCTAGAAATTATTTATTGGTATTATAAATAATTCCACCATCTGTAGAGGCGGTAATACACAGAAGTTGTGAGATACAGAAGCTTATGTGGAGAAGTATATTACAAAGCATTTCTATAGTTAAATTAACATTTATATATTTTTGTTATTAATTTCTTTAAACAATATTTTATTTTTGTTATTCCCATATATTCAAAAGAATTAAAAAAGGTATGCACTTATCGACAAAATTTTTAAAAATAGCAAATATTTTTAAATGTTTAAATATTTTCTTATCTATATATATATTAATTATAATATAGATGCACTAAATAAATAGAAGATATCGACAGAGAATTATGTTGAGTATCGTTTAAGTATTCGTGGAATTTGGTTTTAACATTTTTTTTTTATTAAGCGGTATCCATAATTAATGTAGAGAATCTAAGCCGATTTTTAGTACTTTTTGAATTTAAAAAAAAAACCTAAATTTGTGAGTTATAGCTTGCTAAAGTTTCTTTGATGACGGCAACTTCAAAAGGTATGACGTCATTTCTTATATAAAGTATGACGTCACAGCACACTTTCGTGTACTATATTTCCTTCAATTTAGAAGAGATTGCAAAAATTCAAAAAGTTTATAAAGAAAGTATGCCATGACCTATCAGACCGCTTAATAAAAAAAATTCATGTTAAAACCGAATTATTGTTGTTATTAATACATATGCAAATTATATATATATATATATATATATATATATATATATATATATATATAT